GGTTTTAATTGATGTTAAGTCGAGAAGAATTCAAGATGGTGCCAGAAAATGGAAGTTTAACAGTGTTCCAAAGCAGTAGTAGGTAATTTCCAGCTTAAAAAACCAAAAATAGCAGTTGTCAAGTGTTTATTTATAGGTGACAGAATGCACCTAGAGCTGCAAAGGGAGAGAATTCTCCAGTGACAATTTTTCGTGGTCATGGTTAAATATAATGGTAGTTGTGAGATTAAACATTTCTATAGAGGAAACATTCTGCATTCATTGATTGAACATTTAATGTTACTGTCAGTTTGAAATTTGTTAAATCATTCTCTTAAAACATCTTTTCAAGAAAATAGGTTACTCAAGTCCAGTAGCTGTTATTGCTCTTTCTAGTATTGACAAAGGTTTCTTTCCTATCTTTTTGTTTGAAATAGTGTGGGAGTCAACATGATTATCATGTCAATTTTTTTTTCGTTTGTGTTAGATGTGCTATCCATTTTAGTTGTTGCCTCTGTTGGAAATCTTCAAGCTACGTGGTTTCAATATTTTGTAAAGTTCTTTGTTTGTGATTCTGTAGTGTCAGTCAACAAGATCTGGTGAAAGACTTTTTATAATTAACTTTTTACTTATTCCTGAAACAAGTATATGCTTGTAGACTCAAATGTTGTTCTAATTTATTATATAAGTGAGTTTAATTTAGTCATAGTAGGGAGGTGTACTCCAAAATATATCTATCTTTTATCTTAGGGATTGTGCTCCCGAAGATGACTGCAGAACAGAGTGGTTGAAATGTTATAATGGAAACAAAATATTGAGAATTGCTTTCAATCATTCAAACAACTCTTGTTATGATCATCTTATTTAAAATTTATTGATAATAATATATTTAGTTCTTTTGACAATTTTCAAAGCATTAATAATTGATTTTTTAATTTATAAAGAAAAAGGTGTTGCTTCTTAATTACAGCAATGAAAGCAGACATTGTAATATTTTTGTTGTAAATTCTCAAGAACAAAAAAAAAAAAAGAAAATAAATGGTTAAATTCACTTTCATCATATCATTAGGTTTTATTACAACTCTAATCATTGGTTTTTAAAAAAAACATTGCTGGGGAGTGAAGGTAGTTAAAATAATAGTGGTGTCAAGGGAAAGACTGTCTTTTTGACACTTGTTATTTTAATGGTTCAATCAATGTATCGTGGATATTTTCCGTATGGAAATGGTTATTTTCACAGTTGCCATTATTTTTCTTTTTTATGTGCATGATGACAAAGTTCTGTCATTTTATTAAATGCTCCTTTTCTTGGCCTCAATTTTGTGAATTATTTCTCTAGATTCCTGGCTATCATTGAATAAATAAGCTCTATATGCCATGTGACAAAAAAGAAAATTTATTTATGTTCTTATTCGAATAAGAGATTGCTTGAAAACATTAAGTATTTTGTTTTTTAATTTTATTTCTTCATTTTTTTTTTTTTTTTTTTTTGCAAATATTATTCCTTCGTGGACCAAAATGTGCATTATTGTCCTTTTAGTCTGCGTGCTTCGAGATAATTATTGTTTGTTGGCACTTTCAGAGCGGGATGTAGTGGGTGGGATGTGTGGGATAGTTGTTTGCTGTTCCTGAGCTTATAAGAATATGTTATCATCGTAATTTGGTTCTCTTTTTTTCCTCTTTTCGTTTTTGCAGAAAGTTGTGAAATTATCATTTAGTGACAAAGAATATAGGAATTGAAATTTTTTTTTTTTTTTTTTTCTTTATTGATCTTTCTGATTATGTTTGTAATAATCACAGTTTGAAATCATGGCTGGCGACATATAATAAACCATCGCCTGCAGATAAAAATCATGGCTATATTTCCCTTTGCCTTAATTTGTATCATTTCCTTTGCTTAGGAAATATTGAGGTGTTCTGATTCGATATTTTCTAAATAAAATATTTCTAATAACTAAAAAATGTAGTGAAATAAATACTCTTACTATTTTTGGTATTACTGTTTATACTCATAGATATCCCCCCCTCTACCTTATGGCTTAATAATTGATGATTTACTGTTGACTCGCAGATAGGTCACACTATAATCTGGAGAGTACCACAGCCCTTTTTAAACGTAAGAATTATCAGATATCTACCTTTATTTTAAAACTTACAATTATTAATATACTTTTGCAGTTAAAATACATTTTGTTGATCATCATGTAAAGAAAAGGAAGTAACTGTTGTGCTGGTATTTTATATTTACTAATTATTATTTTTATATTGAGTTAATTCGACAAAAAAAAGAAAAGAAATGACTACAGAAGAAAATGTTACGGTACATTCAGAAAAAAAGTGTTTATCTATCTATATATATATCTATATATATAATCAAGTTACAGTTTTAAAATTCATTCAGAACTGAATACCAAGAATTCTTCACTATCATCGCTGTCAAACATCATTCTCATTTGTTCATGAGTTAATAGGTTTTCATCATTGTCCACTTCATTTGACAAAATATATATATTTTTCAGAATGAATCTTGGGACTATTTTTTCTTTGTCAATAAACATCTAAACCTGGTTCCTTAACTTATGTATTCATGTTCAGGGTTTCTATATCGGTCAAGTGCAAGGGCACCAACCAAACGGTGACTAATGGATCAATGAATATTTTATAATTCTATTTATTTATTGTAATAAATATGTGAATCTAGCAGCATGAGGTAACTTTAAAGAAGTGAGTCAGCATATATATGATAGATAAATTGTTTCTATATGGAGAAAATTCACAGCTTTAGTGTTTTTGGGTATCATTTGCGATTTCTCACAAAATCATGATGACAAGGTAGTGTTGTTTTACATTTATGTCGAGTGGATAGATTGCACCCCTAATATTTTGTAAAATTTTTGGTAAAAAACAAAAAGTGGGACCTATCCGCAAGTACATATGGTGGTAAGTCTAGTTAGTGTGTTGAAAGCTCAGTTGTGAAAAAGTCACCTAATCTCTGATTGGCCAAAGGAAAAGAAAAGAAACAAATGCCAATTTTGGGACCAGTTCCAACAGTTTTGGTACTGTTTCCATCTGGATTCTTGTTGGTAGTGTTACCATCCAGAGTTTTACTGCATGTTTGTTGCCAATAAACATGCAGTCAGGCAGATGGTACAGAATTGGCGGTGGTGTTATTTACGTTCTCTGTGAGTGTTTTGCATTGGGTGCCAGTTATTTCCCTTCTTGGTGAAAATGTCACCAACATTTTTATTGCAAAGTGTTCACTACAAGAGTGCAGGCATGCAAAGAAGGAATGGTCAAAACAAAAGTTGAATGCAAACATGTTGCTATTTGTCAAAATGTAATAAAAAAAATGTTTGTTGGCCAACAAAGTTAAAAGAATGTTGGGGATATGACATAGCTGCCTTAAGTATATATATTTATATTGATTGTAATGGCCAAGTACATCCAATATATATATATATATATATAAACTTGTGCAGCAATTTTACAACTTTTGAGTTGTTAACACATTGAACATGTTTTATATTACAAGATAGAACACCGCTCAAACATTCCTGCGACTTTCACAAAGGGTACTGGTCCCTGTTCTATATGTGGAATGTTGTGTTGGTCTGAAACTGGCCTTAAAAATTGTTGAAGGCATGAACATAGGTAGGGAATAAATGGTGGAACATGCTGTTGAACACTCGTATGATAAAAATCATGGTAGATGGGTAAAAGTATTTCATATCAGGGATAGAACATGTATAAATATAAAAGTGGACACTGAGGTCAACACCATGGCAATAGCCTGTTTAATACTTAGCTACAATCTTGGTTGTTTGAAGATTGCGTTCAAGCATAATACAAACTTGGTGTTGACCTTTATATCCACTTTTTTTTTTTTTTTTTTTTTAAATCATTTCACCCCAAGTAAGGTGATAATGCCACTAAGATGCAAGGAGTTACTGGGAATTGTTAAGAATGAGAAGACTTTCATGTGGAGAAAGGACACTAAAAGAACAAGATTCAAGAAGGCAGATAGAGATTGACCTTGCATTTAAGTTTTTGAAGATTGTAGGTGGCAAGAAAGTAAAAAATCAGAAAAGAGTTCCACAGGTAAGAAGTGTGAGGAAAAGAAACGGTTAGAATAGAACTTAGTTACCTGTAGCTATTTCAACAGCAAAATGATGAGACATAATTGCCAATCTAGTAGTACGTTTAGATTCATGTGGTTAAGTTACCAATGAGGAGAGTTCATTAGAACACTTGTCATCAGGAAAATATTTATAGAAAAAACAGAAGCCATGTCACTATTGGGGGAAAGTGACTGAATGAACTTTAGAAAACAGATCGGTACTGATAACAATACATTCCCTTCTTTGGATTTTTTGGGGAATCTCAAGAGATATAGCTAGAGTATCAGACTAAATATATTCAATGTATGGACAAATGATAGATTTATAAATGTGCAAGATGGATTCTAATGAGAAAAATTGTCTGACATGACACACTGAACCAATCTTCTTAGCAGGAAACCTAGCAATTGTTTCAATATAATTATTCCAACATGTCAGTTGAAAACATCAGACCAAAAAGGTGCAGTGAGTTGCTCTCCTTGAGGTTAGAATCAGCCATGCTGATAAAGGGCAAAATAGTTCTCTTTGATGACTAAAGGATGGCACTTTTGGAGGCCTTAAAATTTACAAGCCACTTCTTGCCTATATTGGGTATATTTTAGTCTATTTTGACTCACCAGTTTTATCTATTCTGTTTTCATTTTTTATGTCTTATCAACTCATTGCAGGTTATTTAAAGCCAGAAAATATTTTTTTTAAATTGTAATTTTCTAATTTTTTTTTTTTTTTTTTTTGAGATAATAATGATTTAGTGACACAAGTCTTACTAACTACCCCATAGCTGGCAGAACAAGAGGTGGATTCATACTTTTCCCAAGAGCATTTGCATGTATGGGAATTGGAACTCTGGTCTCTGATTAGCAATTCCGAGCCATTATACATTACACTACTCACACGTCCAAGCCTACGGCACATGCTATTCTCAAGTGGTCACCCATCTGGGTACTGACCAGGATCAATCTTGCTTAACTACTGTGATCATATGGGAACTGGTGTTTCAACGTGACGTAGCCGACCTTTTATCAGTCTTTATTTCTCCTTATATTTATGTATGTTATCACTTGTAAATGTGTTTAACTGTATAATCACCTAAATGTCTAAATTGATATGGACACATGTAATTATATTTAGTTAATTCTCCATTTCCCCTCCTTCGTATGGATTTCTGTCTTTTGTATATACATCTTTCTTCGTTCTCTTCTAGAAAGAAACATCTGATTCCACTAAAGCTCAGAGTGGAACATCACTTTCCCCAAATGATACAAAGAGATTTCTTGGCAGTTTGGGAATCTAATTTGCAAAATTGTGATTAGAATCTCTCTTTCTCTCTGTACAACGGCACCAAAGTGTGAATGGGAAGGAAGATGTTGCTGGCTTGTATTGGCCTCACAGACTTTTGCCATTGTCCCTGCTGATTGAAATGCCTGCGGCACCGGCAACCAACCAATGGCTTATCATTGATTCTTTGTATTCTTTATAAATTCTTCCATCTGCAGACGTGTATGCGTGCTGCCTTTGTTGCTAGCCAAACCATCTCCCCATTAAAAGCATTCCTCTGGAGTTTACCATTTTTTTTAAATTGGCGGTTTCTTGTATTAGTTCTGTGGACAGAAAATCTGTCTGTGGCTACGTGACAAATTCTGAGATTTTCTGTTGGTCTTTGCTCCTGGAAAATCAAGGGATTCAACCTTTAAACTTTTCTCTCCCTGTGCTCTCCTCCGCCCCAACTCCACCCTAAATTGATTCTGAGTATAAATAAATGTACTTTTTTTTTTTTTTTTTTTTTTTTTAAAAATGCGAGAGAAGAGAAAATTCTTCAATCTCTCACCCAGCAAATCAATTTCTTGATTTTTTTTTTCTTAATCGAGATTTTATTTTGTCTTATTGTTGTGGGACCATCTGTAATTTGTTAACAATCTCAGTTGTTCATCATGAGATAATAACTTAAGGAATTTTATGTACTTTTAGTCAAAATTTATATTGTCCAAGAAAAAAATTATTCTGTTGCATTTTCGGGTCACTATCTGTAATTTGTGGCCCTACCGACATCTTACTACATTCCCCATGGAAGGTTAAGACTATTCTTCTAAAAATTTGGCACACCTACTGGGTGGATTTTTGTAGACATGGGTATGGATAACTGTTTACATATGGCCTGAAGTATAAACTCTACTAATGTTTACATATGGCCCGCACTTTGACCCAGCATAAGCCCGCCAACGACAAGTATAAACTCTACTAATGTTTACATATGGCCTGAAGTATAAACTCTACTAATGTTTACCTATGGGCTCTTTAAACCTGACCAACGTTTACTTTTGGACTCCAGTATAAGCCCGGCCAACGTTTACTTTTGGACTTAAGTAAAAGTTTGATCAATGTAAATTCATAATATCAAGGTACCAAAGAGGAAAGCTCATCAGAAGAATTATCATGAAAATATTTATAGGAAAAAGGCACAGGGTAGCTATGTTACAATGGTAGGATATTAACTGAACCCAAGCTGCCATGTCAGCACCAATAACATTGCAGATTCCTCTTTGGATTTTATCAATAATCTCCAAATCCAAACCTATCTGAAGTATATCTGATAAGAGTTCATGACAGGTTATAATTATAGTAGAATGATTCTTTAATACTACTGACGGCAAAGTGGTTTGTTTAGTGAAACAGAACATAATTAAATTTATGTATGTCAAGACATTTGAAATATCAAAATAAGAAATGTTTATTTTGCAATCTTTGTTGTCATTGAAAAATTTATTGTCATGACTGTTAGTCATATTTTCATTGTCACTCATGGGTAGTTGCAAAAAAAAAAAAAAGATTTCATTTGTTTCTGTTAAGTTTCTGATCTATATTTCTGAGATGAGGTATTATGTACATTATTTACATTATTTGGACTATTGTACTCATCTTTGTCACTATATTTATTACAATGTTTCGGCCGTTGTATGCCCCGGCCTTCTTCAGGTAGTTGGAATGTTGAATTGAACACTTTATTTCGCTCACTGGGGTAGACTGTTCTAGTTCCATGTACCATGTTTGATGGATGTCAGTTATCCTGCTAATTTCCCTTTGAAAGTTCTCCACTGCCTTAACTGGGTATTGAACTCACTGTTTGGGTCCTGTCACTGGATCTAACCAACGCCGTTATCCATTGTGACATGCGTCCTTCAGTACCCGGTTAAGGCAGTGGAGAACTTTCAGAGGGAAATTAACAGATAACTGATAACTGACATCCATTAAACATGGCACGTGGAACTAGAACAGTCTACCCCAGTGAGCGAAATAATGGGTTCAGTTTGACATTCCAACCACCTGAAGAAGGCTGGAGCGCATAACGGCGTAAACGTTGTAATAGATATGGCGACAAAGATAAGGACAATAGTCTGAATAATGTAAGCTGTAGAAATATGAGGAATAAAACTATTCAGTGAAATTATGTTTTAAAAGTACAGAAATTTCTGACTCCTCATGCTATCCTGTAAGGGCCAGATCAGGCCGAAAATAGAGTACTGTTGCCTTATTTGAGCGGGAGCTGCCCAGTCCTCACTTGACAGACTTCAAAAGCATCTCAGAGTCCTTGTTGGAGAAGAACTATTTTCTACCTTCCAACTTGTCACAGACGTTTCTCTCCTTGCTCTATCACTACTACCATGGAAAGTACTCGGATGAACTACATTCCTTTCATAGTAGCAAACCAGCCATATTCCCTTCGTATTCCATCGCTGAAAAGGAAGTTCCACTGAAACAGCTTCATTATGTGAATGACTGCCTTGTGGAACAGACTCCCAAGAGTATGTTTCCCCGATCATTACAATCTTAACCTGTTCAAATCTAGAGTTAACTGTTATCATCCCCTCCTATAAACTAATCCTTAACGTAATCTACTACCTAGTTTGGCCCCCAGCCTTGTACAGGGGGGGAACCATATGGGAAAAAATTATAGTCTTACACTCAATAGTTGTACCGTCCTGGGCATGACGATAAACTACATCTGTGTCCAGGGTAAGACAATATGCTACGTCCAACATCAAGGCCTCTGATCAGGAGGCTTTGAGCAGTGTCGAACCACCTCTTAATTGCTGATGTTCCCAGGTCCACCTGGGGTGGTAGCACCTGCTAGGGTCCCAGCTATGGGCAAATAGTTAATCCCAAAATTGAGGTAAAAAGCATTATGAAAGTGTAAAAATAGGTTTTAATACCAGAAATACTTTGTGAAAAATAAATTTTTGAAAAAAAAAAAAAAAAAAAAAAAAAAATTACCAACTATATGTTTTTGAAAAAAAATATTACCAGCAATAAGTTTTTAGGAGAAAAAATTATTACCAGCTATACAGTTTTGAGGAAAAAAATATTACTAGAAATAGATTTTTGACAAAAAATATTACCAGGAAAAAAAATTTGTCGGCATTAAATGACCGTTTAAGGTTGATATGCTTTAAAACAAAAACCAAATCAAATCAGTAGTTGTAAATTAAAAATGTTAATGTGAAAGAGGAATTCATATAATGCAGCTTGTCTTCTGAAGAAACAATTTTATTTTCCTCCTTTTAATAAATAAACCTAACTACAGGTATGTATAGCAAAATTGAGGACTGTACATTTTCTTCTTTTTAATCATTTCATTCAAAGAAAGGCAACAAAACCACTAAGATGCCAAGGGTTACTGAGTATGAAAGAATGTAAGAAAAAAAAAAGCATTATTAAAGAGGGACACCAATGTAAGGAGAGGGACACCAATAAAAGGAGAAAAATGTAAGGAGAGGGACACCAATAAAAGGAGAAAAATGTAAGGAGAGGGACACCAATAAAAGGGGAAAAATGTAAGGAGAGGGACACCAATAAAAGGGGAAAAATGTAAGGAGAGGGACACCAATAAAAGGGGAAAAATGTAAGGAGAGGGACACCAATAAAGGGGAAAAATGTAAGGAGAGGGACACCAATAAAAGGGGAAAAATGTAAGGAGAGGGACACCAATAAAAGGAGAAAAAATTAGGAGAGTTAGACGAATGAATGAGGGGAAATTTCGGAGAGGGATGCGAATGAATGAGGGGAAATTTTGGAGAGGGATGCGAATGAATGATGAGCAGAGCTTACAACTGCAGAGTCCACCATATATGGTGTATTTAAGCAGCAAGAAATTGTTGATGGAACCAACACTATTTATTAGATAAGTATGGTTGGATCAGTTTGTTTAGTTTGAGATAAGTTTCATATGATAGAAGGCATTTGAGAGATTATAGGACATACTGATGAATTTGATTGACGGATTTAAAAATATCCACATAGTCAGGATGACACTCACTCAGAATATTAAGTTTCATTAATACTATTTTCGTGTTGTTGTAATTATACTGTTTGTGCTTTAAGATGGTTAGTAGTATTTATTTTTTTAATTTCTTAAATTTGTATTATTGAGGATAGAATCAAATCTGTATTATTTAACCAAATATGTTTACCAGAATTCTTGCTGCCTAAAGACATGTTATTTAATTTATATGTCCCTGCAATGAAGAATGACAGCAACATAATAATAAAAGAAGAAAAATTAAGGAGAGAGACCAATAAAAGAAGAGAAAATATATTAGGTCTTCTTTAAATATGCAAGTACTTTTGATGGTTCTATCATCAGGCATGGAAATTATTTTGTTTTTGGTAAAATTCAGGTAGTTTCTGAGACAAAATAATATAATCCAAACCGAAATCTTTTTTTTCTTTCTTTAAGTCTCTCTCCTTAGTTTCTCTTCTTTTATTATTATTACTAGCTCAGGACTTTTTGCTGGATATGACAATACCTTAAGTTTGCTGGCATCCAAGTATTTTGAATGAAATGCGTCACGTGGGCGATGTTGTGAAAAGGTACGTGATCATATTGAAACGGAACGCTGATCTTGAAAAATTTCAGTTGTCTGTTTTGATTAGTCTTGCTCTTATGTCCATCGTCTTTTTCGTGTTGAATTGAATATAGTCTATGTTAATTATATTTTATGAATATGTCCCGAAGATGGTCTACTAGACTGAAACGTCCGACGTTGACATTATATTAACATTAAAACAGCATAATTGCATATTAGGATTTTTGTTTGTTTTTTCTGTATATTTTTCTTATTACTGTCAGAATCTATATTCATATATTTGCTTTATATATATATATATATATATATATATATATATATATATATATATATATATATATATATATTTTTTTTTTTTTACAGTAGAGTTCACCCTTTACAAAGCCTGGGGGCCACTTGAGGTAGAGAGTTACGTTAAGGGGTAGTTTATATGGATAGGAGGGGAAGATAATGGTTAATTCTAGACTTGAACAGGTTAAGATTGTAGTGATTAGGGAAACATCCTCTAGGGAGTCTGTTCCACAGAGAAGCAGTTCACGGGAAGAAGCTGTTTCAGTTGAACGAACTTCTCGCCAACGGAATATGGAGGGAATGAGGGTAGTTTTTTACTATGTAAATGGCATGGTGGGTCCTAGCTGTGAAGGTCAGACCTGGTGGAAATGCAGTTTGTCCGAGCACCTTCTATAATAGTAGTGATAGAGCAGTGAGAGACTTGCCACATCCCACTTATGGCAAAAGTACTCCATTTTCAGGCTGATCTGGATCTTATAAAGGTAGAGGATAGCAATGAGTCAGGTATATATATATGCTCCTGAAAAATATTTTGGCTGAGCTCTCTGGGAAGAAAGTGTGAGTTTGTAAACGGTGACTATTACTGCTACTAATGCAATACTCTTCGATAAAACAAATCAAGTTCTCTTAGTCACTGGTGTGTTTATCTAAAAATAAACATGCTTAAATTCAGCTTCAACCCTGCTGTGCACTAATGGCTTAGGAGATAGATTCTCCAACTGATGCCAATTCAGCCATGGTCCAATCCTAGCTAGAGGCAACTGGACGTCTAACTAAACTGATGAGCTGTGATACAATGGAACAATCTGTCTGTGAATATATATATATATATATATATATATATATATATATATATATATATATATATAAAAAGTTGTAATACCTCAAATTTTCATGGAAACTTTATGTGCATTTTTTTCACAAATGATGAAATAATGGATTTGAAACGATGTGTACTGATGCCACAACAAAATTTTTATTTTAATTTCAAACGATAATACAAAAATACATGAAAAATACATCTAACATAGGACAAACTTATTGGCACTTTCGCCTCAATAATCAATTGTGTAACTTTTATTCTTGATTCATGTCTCTGCTCTATATCAATGATACCCTATGCTCTCACTTGTTCTTCTGGTCCTGAATCAGCAAAAAATCCCTAGAGCAGAATAATCTCACTTCCATGCTTAATTGTAGAGAGGGTATTTTTTGGTTTGTGGTGTTCATTCACTTTTCTCCATACATAGTGGGATTTCATGTGATCAGATAAATTATAGTTTGGTTTCATCTGACCGTAAAACAATTTCAATATTTATTTCTAATGGCCTAGATAACTTCTAGCATAAGCCAATCTGCATTTTAGGTGTTTAGCCTCAAACAAGTGAGTTTTCCTTGGTAGACAAACTTGAAGTCCTGCTTGATGAATGCATCTAGTGACTGTCTTTGTTGATACATCTTTACATCATTGACAATGATTCTTTGAAACATTTCTGACAATTTTCCTTTCCATTCTCTCAGAAATTAACCATTTCCTGCCAGTCCTTAATTTATTCTCAGCACAATGAGTCTTGTTGTTAATGCTATGAAGTGTCGATCTAGGAACATTTAAACACTTGGCACATGTTATATCCTTGTTTGTATGCATCAACTATGTTCATTTGGAGCTTCTTGTCAAGTTCAGCCATTTTCACCATACTTGCAGAATGAATGAGTTATCACGGTATGTGGCACTCACATATTGTCTTCTTCATTAATTTTTAGAATTCTATAGAATCAAGTCAATACTATATCATTTTCAAAAGGTGTTTGTATTAAATGTCAGATTAAGAAAAAAGACATTACAATTGCCATAGAGCAATATTATTTCCTGATTTCTATAAAAGGTAGGGGCAAAGGATTTTGAACTGCACCATTTTTTAGAAAATCTGTAATTATGAATACAAAAGATCAAAATTTCTAAAAATTTCACAATTTATCCAAAACTAAATATGTAATTAACTATTTATGGTAAATCCAGTAAATTCTTGCACATGTTTGTTGGGGGGGGAATTCTGTTCAACTCTGTATGTATATATATATATATATATATATATATATATATATATATATATATATATATATATATATATACACACACACACACACACACACACACACACTTAATGTAAATCTATTTAAACTCAATGGAAAAAAAACCTGGATAGCACAATTTTCAAATAAATTGGCATCAAAGGAAAAAAAAAAAAAAAAAAGAAAGCACCAGAAACCTTTGAACTGGGCTTAAAAAAAAATCATCCAGTACCTTAAATCTCTGGTACAAATTGTTGAGAAAAAAAAAAAACACAGTTGTAATAAGTTAAAACAATTAACAATAGAGTGATTAGTAGAATAGTACGAAACTAAGTAAAGCAAAAACCATGTACCGGTAAGCTTATCTGGATTATGGATTATATATATATATATATATATATATATATATATATATATATATATATATATATAAAGTAGAGCAAAAGTAGATTTCAGTCGTTTGATTTATATAATGCATTATTTTTTAAAATAAAATTCAGATGAATGCTATGCTTTTATTTTTTAAAATATAAATAAATGAATATATTTTTAAAATATAAATAAACTGTCAGGTGTGGTAAATGGTGGGGTGGGGGAATCAAGTGTATTGGAAATGTATCCATGCAGGATTAAATGAAATATACGTATGTTATTTTCGTTCCATTTTATATGAGCTCAAATGGAAATTTTTAGTATGAATGCTATGGGACATAATTTTTGGTTTAAAAGTTATGATAGGTAATTTCTCTTGTTGACAAAGGTTGCAGATGTTGCAAGGTTTTACTTTTTTTTTTTAAAGTTTCCAGTTTACAATGTGATGTTTTTTTTTCTTCCTTAGTTTCCACACATGGTTGGCTAGTTTAGTAGAATTTCTAAGGCTTTCTAGCTTAAAAGATGACTTATGATTGTATAACCTCTTTTTAAAGTTACCCTCAGTACACCCTATGTATATATTTTTATTTGATCATTTGTATCTATTACTTCTGCTTTGTAAATTATTGCTTCAGTTTTGCAATTCCAGTGCTAAAAAAAATAATGACAAAATGTAGTGAACAAAATCTTGACACCCACACTGACATCATGCACATTCTGATTAGGACTGAAACAGTCAAAAATACTTCAACAAAATACAACTAAACATTAACTTTTGGATGTCCTCAATTTTCATTTCAGTGCACAGTATCTTGTACAACTGACATTTTCTTGTTTGCCATTTTTTTTAAGATGTTTCTTTAGTTACAGCAGAAACACTGGAGTATGTTTTTACATATTCTTTCTCTAAATGTCATGTGGTCTCTTCAGGCCATAGATGATTATGGCTTTCCACGGATTCCTTTGCTTTATTATCTGTAAAATGTATTTTCTTGGGAATGATAGTTCAGTGGTTTCCCTGTTGCTTTATTCACAATTTGAGATTCACTTTTGATTCTCCTAACCTGGTTGCCATCCAATGCTAGAGAACTCAGTTTACCCTGCTACTTAACCTATAGCTGATGGGAGAAGAGAACAAGCAGAATATCAGCCTTGTCAACTGACATTTTTTTGTTTGTCTTTTTTTTTTTTTTTTTTACAGTATGGTTTACTCTATGTAGCCCGGTGCCACTTAAAATAGAGGGTTATGTTAGTTTATACAGATAAGCAGGGAAAGATAACGTTTAATTTTAGACTTGAACAGGCTAAGATTTTAGTGAAGGGGGAAATATCCTCTGGGGAGTTTGTTCCACAGAGCAGTGGTTCACAGGAAGAAGCTGTTTGATTGGAACTTCTCACCGACGGAATATGGCTGGAATGTGGATGGTTTGCTACAATGCTATGAACATTATTCCTGGCAGAACCAAGGAATATAGTTTGTCTGAGCACTTTTCATGGAAGTAGCAATAAAGCAGTGAGAGGCTCACCACATACTGTCTGTGAGAGAGAGGTTGGAAAATAATTTGTCTCCTGTAAAGACTTGGAGATGCTTTTGAATTCTGTCAAGACTGGAAAGTGAGGACTGGGCAGTTCCCAACCAAATATGGCAACAGTACTTCATTTTCAGTAAGTTAAGTGCCATGTGTGATACATGCTTAGGCGATCACGTATCTTTTGATACATGACTGATGAGGCAGATTTTTTCCCTGCAGTAGGTTGCCATTTCTTTCTGCTGTAGACCAGTTGCCATCCAAAGCTATAGAACCCGGTCTGTCCTGCTATTTACTGATAGCTGGAGGGAGAAGTGGATTCATACCTTTCTCAAGGTTATTAGCACATAAGTGAATGTAATGGATACGAGTAGAATTTGAACTTGGCTCTCCGATTCCTCAATCTGAGCTACCATCCATTCCAGTCAAATCCATTACATTAACTTATGTCTAATACTCTTGGGAAAGGTATGAATCGTTGTCTTCTCATACCCCCCCCCCAAGCTATGGGTAAATAGCAGGACAAACCGGGTTTTATAGCCTTGGATGGCAACTGGTCTACTGCAGAAAGAAATGCCAACCTATTGCCCAAGTGCGTATCCTGCATGGCACATAACTGACTGAGTCCATTTTCAGTCTGATCAGGCTCTTATAAAGGTAGATTCTATGAAACATGTATAAAAGAAGCACTGCTGTCGAAGTATATTCACACATGTGCAGTGAATTAGAGTTCTAGTTTGAAGTCTCTCACCAACAATCAAACGTTGTCGAAGTGTAATCAGTTCTTATCTCTGAGTGTCTGGATTCTTAATTATTATATCTTCAGAAAGCAAAGTACAGAAATTGGTTTTTGATTGTAAAACGTTTTTCAATTCAGTTTTTTTTCCATTGCACCAAACATCGATAAGCTTAATAATAATAAAAACCACAAAAATCAATGTGAAATTTCACATCTCATGATTATTCAACAAATCTCTCTTTACCTGTCTATTGTCACATGACTTAAGGACAGTGCTGTGCCCACCAAATTTTCTTTGGTTACAGCAGAAACACTGGAGTATGTTTTTACATATTCTCTCTCTAAATGTCATGTGGTCCCTTCAGGCCATAGATGATTATGGCTTTCCACGGATTCCTTTGCTTTATTATCTGTAAAATGTATTTTCTTGGGAATGATAGTTCAGTGGTTCCCTTGTTGCTTTATTCACAATTTGAGATTCACTTTTGATTCTCCTAACCTGGTTGCCATCCAATGCTAGAGAATTCAGTTTACCCTGCTATTTAACGCATAGCTGGTGGGAGAAGAGAACAGGAAGAATGTCTCTGTGTCAAATTAGACAGAAAAGACAATTTCTATATGACATAGAGGAAAGACTGGACTTTCTGTATTTTCAGTATTGAGGAGAGAGGGCTGAAAGATTTGAGAGGGGCTGACAGACTTTCTGTATTTTGACTTTCTGTAGAGAGAGAGAGAGGGCTGACAGACTTTCTGTATTTGAGAGGAGGCTGACAGACTTTTCTGTATTTGACAGACTTTCTGTATTTGAGAGAGAGGAGGGCTGACAGACTTTCTGTATTTGAGAGAGAGAGAGGGCTGACAGACTTTCTGTATTTGAGAGAGAGAGAGGGCTGACAGACTTTCTGTATTTGAGAGAGAGAGAGGGCTGACAGACTTTCTGTATTTGAGAGAGGGCTGACAGACTTTCTGTATTTGAGAGAGAGGCGGCTGACAGACTTTCTGTATTTGAGAGAGAGGCGGCTGACAGACTTTCTGTATTTGAGAGAGAGGCGGCTGACAGACTTTCTGTATTTGAGAGAGAGGGGGCTGACAGACTTTCTGTATTTGAGAGAGAGAGAGGGCTGACAGACTTTCTGTATTTGAGAGAGAGAGAGAGGGCTGACAGACTTTCTGTATTTGAGAGAGAGAGGGCTGACAGACTTTCTGTATTTGAGAGAGAGAGAGGGCTGACAGACTTTCTGTATTTCTGTATCTGAGAGAGAGAGAGGGCTGTATTTGAGAGAGAGAGAGAGAGGGCTGACAGACTTTCTGTATTTGAGAGAGAGAGAGGGATGACAGACTTTCTGTATTTGAGAGAGAGAGAGAGAGACAGGGGTGACAGACTTTCTGTATTTGAGAGAGAGGGATGACAGACTTTCTTTGATTTGAGAGAGAGAGAGGGTGACAGACTTTCTGTATTTGAGAGAGAGAGAGAGAGGGCTGATTTTGTATTTGAGAGACTTTCTTTTTTATTGGTGATGGAGAGAAACAGAAAGGTACGGTATTTTTGGTATTAGAGAGAATGGAAAAATGATTTTGGTGTAAGATGGAAGGGAAAATGGTTTGGGCACAAGATGGAAGGGAAAATGGTTTGGGCACAAAGCAATTTATTTATTTAATGTTTTTCTTTTTCTTTAGTTATAATTTGATGCTAAAGGGTATTATTTGTTCAAACTATTTGGAATGTTAACTCTTTTCAAATTTGAATGGTGTTTTTTTTTTTTTTTTTTTGTACCTATCCCCCACTTCTTGGATTTAAAGATGGGGTTGCACAATAGTCTATTGTGATTTTATTTGACCTTTATTGCAATTTTAAGCAAGCTTTGAAAACTGTTTCATCAATGTTTTGTGAATTTTAAGTACCATCAACTTGATTGGAAAATTGGAAAAAAAAGCTCCTGTAATTAACTGTCCCTTAGAGCAAAATATATTTGTCACTCCTTTTTTAGATAGGCAAGCAAGCTTACTCATTCATGTTATTGCAGCATTTATTCATACCATATCTCAAAATGAGGTCATGTGATATTTTCATTTGTGCTAAAAAGTGGAACAGAAAATTTTTATTTTTAAATGAAAAGACATCCAAGCTAATTGTTAAAGATTTTCTATAATTTGTGTGTAAAGCTTTAGTAATAAGCTATTGATTTGTACATGCAAGGTTTATTATTCAATCTTTGTGTTGGTTTTGTGTTTGTTTCTTTTTGTTTTTTTTTGGTTTCTGCTTCTAATAATAAAAGCAATAATAATAATCTGACCAAAGAACAAAACATTAAAATTTTATTTGGATTTCCTTTGTTGGGTCAAAAAGTTGATGTTGCCACAATGAATGCTGACAGTCTGTTTCATGCTTGAATACAATCTTCAGGCCATGTTTATCCTGAATACTACCCAATAAATATACCATACCTTAAAATGATGATCACAAGGGCCTGAAACCCAGGCTCTCAAACTCACATCATTGCAACTATATTAGCGCTATTGCTGATATTGAGCACTTTCCAATAAGTACCGCACATATATAATATAGAAATAATATATATAGAAATTACATGCACACACACACACACACACACACACACATATATTATGCATGCACACACACACATATATTATGCATGCATGCACACACACACACATATTATGCATGCATGCACACACACACACATATTATGCATGCACACACACACACACACATATTATGCATGCATGCACACACATATATTATGCATGCACACACACACACACACACATATATATATATATATATATATATATATATATACACACACACATATGCCCATATTATACACACACAAGTGGACACTGAGGTTAACACTGAGTGCCGACAGTCTGTTTAATGCTTAAATGCAATTTTCAGGTCTGAATATTGTATTCAAGCTGTTGACACTCTGTGTTGATCTCATTTGAATAGGCTCTTTCTTTGATAGTTAACACTTTTAAGCATAAAAATAGCATAGTTTAAAACTATGTTTATCATATATATATATATATAGAGAGAGAGAGAGAGAGGAATGAATGTATATAGCTCTAAACAGTTTACCTCTGATTTTGAGTATTCTTCCATTATGAATGCAGCAAACAAAACAATTTTAACTGGTCTCTCTCTTCATATATATATATATATATATATATATGCACACACACACAAGTTCGAATCAAATATGGATCAGAAGCTGAGAGAATAAGAAGATAAAGAACAAATAGGCAAATAGGAAACATTTATAAATCTAGCATGTTTCTCTTTTATTAAAGCTTCATCAAAGAATGAGATATGGAGAAAAAGAGAAAGAAATTTTGGCATTTTTACTTTAGGGTTTTTGATTTTCGTTGGTTAATCATATTTAATGCAACTTGTTAAACATTAGTATAATTTATGGCGTTCCGAATTCAAGGAGAGAGGGTGCCCACACAGACTGTGAAACTGAAAGACAGACTCTATTGAAATTATATCAATCACCAGTTAGTTAAGAAATGGAAAAGCTGACCTGGCAGCAAAGGAATCCCTAAAGATGAACACCTGAAAGATCCCTTCCTGTCTCCCATCATCATGGCTGATATTAATATCAATTAAAGACTTGTTGCGTCTTCTGAAGATTATGATCTTGGCTGACATGAAGTGAAAAGATTATATTGAATCCATTGCAAAGTCTGCTGCTAAGAAAGTTGGTCCACTGTCTCATACTAGACAATTTTTCTCTTCTGAATATATCTTAGATACTTATAAGTCTTCCATTCATCCATGCCTTGAATATTGTTACCATATATAGTCTGGTGCTCCTGATGTATATTAATAGCTGTATTAAACTTACAGCAACCGCTGTCTAACTCTCTGAATTAGCGGGGAGGAACCCGGACGAAGCTTTGCCGAAGGGCAAGGTTTTGTTCGGGGAGGTTGACAGCTCTTGAACCCGCCTAGGTGGGTTCGAAGGCTATATTTTTGGCCGGGCCTACAGGCTTGGATTACCCATATTAAACTCTGCCTTGTGCCACATTCGATCCCACGTGGGGGGATAGCTAAATATAGCTGTATATTTATAGATTCTTCATAAAATCCAATGAAGAATCTGCAATATAATCGCTCATGACCTGGCATCTCAGTTTCATTCACTTTCCCACCACATAATGAAACTTCCCTTTACTTTTTCTATAAATACATAATTCTTTGGAATATTTTCTGACTTTAAATAACCTGATGCAAAGGTTGGTAAGCTGTAATAAACAAATGTCTTGCAATACCAGCCATTATCTGTTTCCCTGATTACACTTCTATTGTTCTTGCTCCTTAATAATGTTCCTGTTTTATAATTATTTCACAGTCAGTGTCTTAGTGGCTTTACTGCCTTATAAAGGATGAATTTGATTAAATAAAAAAATCAATTATCCAAATGATTGTTTACAAGCAATATATTTAAAAAAAAAATTTTTTTCTGGTTTTAAATAAAAACAAATCAGTCAACTAATGGATTGTTTACAAGCAAGGTATTTAAAAAAAATCTGGCTTTAAATAACCTGCAAAAGACTGATAAGCCATAAAAACAAATCAATTGATCAAAGGATTGTTTAAACAGAATAATCAATCAATTTTCTAACGTTATACTTGCCTCTCCATCACTGTAGGTCTGTAGGTAATTACCCTCATATTTAATAGATTTGATTTTTATAAAACTCTCGTCTGAAATATGTCTCCTACACTTGAATGCACATTCTCTAGATACAGTTTTTGATTTCTTGAAATACATAGATTAAATAACGGTTGTAGACATTGACAGTCTTTTAAAAATACCAAAGGCTTTTGTATTTCCTCCTTCCTTTTCTTAATGCAGAAATGGACATAAAATCTTTGGACCGTAATACAGACAAAGAATTTAATTTTAACTTATCACTTATTTACAAGACAACGATATTTTTGAATTTGATAAAAGGATTATGCATTATCTGTTCTCTCCAAAAATGTTTTTATGGAAACTTGGAATTTATATAAAGCTGAGCAAATTCACTTATACTAGCCAAATCCCGGTCTTACAAACATTTCTCTTAAAGATTTAAAAATAATTCAGCAGACAATGTTATTTTATTTATGGTAACTGGACTTTTGGCATTTGGTTTCTGTTATTCAGTACTGTGTGTCTGAAAAATGGTGCTTTTATCACAGTCAGCCACACTTTGTCTATTGGCTAAAATTAAAGTGTAGTACCTGTTTTTATCAGCTGAATTGGTTTATCTGTTAATGGATATTTAAGCAAATAATGTTTGCTGTGCTCTTGTGGGTTTCATAAAATCATCAGGCCAAAGTTTGTGCACCCTTGTTCCAGTTGATATAAAATGTGGGATTAGTTTTCTACTGTTATTAGCTAACAAATTGATTCTCGCAGAAATGACTATATATTAAAACAATATTTATAAAAATAGATTTAAAGACTCACGTAAACCTAATAATAGAAAGGAATTAAAAAATATCCCATTCTTTAGATTAAAAATCTAGTATTAATATAGTTTCATTGGACATAAATTGGGGGATCGATTTTCTCTTGTTACTAAGTAATAAAATGATCCCCCGTTATTAGTTCATTTTAATAACAATTATAAAATAGACCCACATTTCTACTTCCCCTCGTGTTACAGCTTTCTGGAACACCAGAAAGCTGTAACACGAGGGGAAGTAGAAAAATCAGGCGTGGCTGAACACATATGGAGAGAGAAGTGAGATCACCGCCCTCTGTGGGATAATGTTGAGATCATAGACAAGGAACACCATTGGAAAATTCGTAAACGTAAGGAATCAGCACATATGCTAGGTCACAAAAATCTCCTGAGCCGACCAAGCATAGAAATAAATACAGTATGGGAACCAGTAATAAGGAGTGCCAGAGAAAAGCAATGATAACAACAAAATTGCAATATGAGCTATGGTAAAAACATGTAATGATAACAACAAAATTGCAATATGAGCACTGGTAAAAATGGTTGCTGAAAACATTAGGTTTATAATACCCAGAAATTCATATCCAGATGTCCTCAAGGACACATGGCACAGTGGATAAAGGCGTTGGTTAGAGTTCAATACTTGGTTAAGGCAGTGGAGAACTTTCAGAGGGAAATTAACAGGAGATAACTGACATCCATCAAACATGGCACATGGAACTAGAACAGTCTACCCCAGTGAGCAAAATAAAGGGTTCAGTTCGAACTTCCAACCACCTGAAATAATACATAATACCTCATCTCAGAAATATAGCCACTCTAAATCATTATTATCTTCAAAAAATTCTTACAATGCCAAAATATTTTCTGGCTTTAAATAACCTGCAAAAGGTTGATATACTGTAAAAACAAAGCAATTTAGTGACCATTAATTAA